TATAGGCCTTTTTCGTTCCTTCCTACGCATTTCTATACCAGGACGCGGAGGGATTTGGGGGTGACATGGCCGTACACGGCAACGCTAAACTGGAAAAAGCCGTACCTGCAAACATGTTGCAGTCAGGTATGCTATTCGTATAGGGGTGTATATATTAAGCACGAGTGATCAGGTGAAACAGGGCCAACAGGTTTGGTTTGAGGCAGTGAGCTCAATTGTGCTTTACTAGATTGCTAGACGGTTGTTTCCCTAGCGCACCTTCATTTGGCACTCGTAAGGTTAACCGCTCACGGTTTGACCTCTTACGCTCTAATGTATGTATTTGTACTAGAGCATTTCCGGCTTACGCTTTACTGCCTCTACTACCTCGGATGCTGCTATGACTACTGCATGGCCGGTATCTATCGCGCATTACAAATAGTACCAATGGCCATAAAAAGTTTTTTGGCGTGCGACTGAACTGTATACCGGCTTCCTGTATGTAATGCCAATCTGCAGTGCATAGCCGCTGTTGTATTGTGAGGTACGAGAGTAGCTTTCTTTCTCCTTTTGCCTGCCTTTTTGACTTACCGCGTCGTGCATAACCCTTTTTCTTATGAGCCAAGTTTTGGCTTAATCTAGCGAGAGTTAAGCGGAATTGCCGCTGTTTAAGCACCCTGGTCCGTTTCCCTCTAGCAGGCGGATTTTATTCAGATAAGGCCACCTACAAGAAAATGCACATCAGTCTTGTTCCCCTCTGCCCACTCAAGGTCATAGAACTCGTAACAATTTGGTAATTTGGTTAGAGAGACGTATGCGCTGCATAATCTAGAATCACGTATTGTACATACAAATTACTAGCTGTTGATAGACAATGCTGCAGGTCTTTATATACATAAACGTATACAGTTTTTTTTGTATTTTCATATAAGGCTGCCAAATGCACTGAAGACGAGAGCCTGTTGTTTTTGTTGGGAATGGGGTAACTAACCGTACTGCCATCCTAAAACAGAGGATGCGGATGGAAATTAATTTTGATCAAATTGTCAATAAATTTAAATTTATATACGCACTTGAAATATACATTTATAACACGCTAAGCACACTAGGGTTTACATGATATCATACGGTATACGTTTGCGAGATTCATGAGTCGGGTTAAAACTAATGTCATCGAAATATTTATGAAATAGTCCACCTATGGTTCATGTTGTTGTGTACCAGTTATGGCATTATACATTATACACCATGATACACTACCACCGTTTGTCCTGTTAACGAGCCAGACTGGCTATCGATTGAATTTGCGGGCGGCGAGAATTGTGATCTATTCACAAATTTTGATACATATCACAAGGTTGCCTTCACTTCGTACAAAGACAATGCTCATCGGTTTCCTGAAACTCTGTTTTTTTTTTTTTTTTTTTTTGTTAAACAAGATGATGAAGGCCGGGCACTGAATATTGCGTCACTGTTAAACTGGCGAAGTCCTTCCTAAGTCTTGTCTGTCATGGCCTCCCCGTTCGACAGAATTCGTGATTGAACTTTCGAAGCCATTTTAGGCTTTCCATTTCAGGCTTTTTGTAGTGGTAGAGTTTCTAATAGGTTGAAATGGCGACGGAGGTTTTCAGTGGATAGTGGCATCGCCGCCAGGAGGTAGACACGCCTGTTACGGATTGTTCGATGCGATTCCAAGCCTTTGTTCGGTTCAAATGCTCAAAACCCTCAATTGTGAGATCATCTCGAGCGACGGGCGCAACGATGAAATCGAAAAGTTGCAAAACGGCTAAGAGGAATGATCGATGAGAGGAATGATCTAAGTACTGAGGACGAAGCTATTAAGTCATTTTTGCATCTTTGTGTTATGTGCTGAAAAAAACTTTTGCCGTTATACAGTATCAGCAACTTTAGGTAGGTGAATCGATCAAGATATGTTAGCGGTCGCTCTCAAGAATATAGTGTGTCACGAGCCACACCCTTTCACCTCCTTTGAACCTCATTGCCCCAATTTTAGTCAGATTGACGATTAGTTTCGATTTCAAGAAGCGGAATGTAACCTGGGGGTTCGCTGTACGTGGAAGCGACTGTTTCGTGAATGACTAAATCATCTGCATAGAGAAGAGTCTTTACCATATTTCTAGGGCTACGTATCATGCCCAGAAGGCATTTAAGCAAAATTGAAAAGAAGACAGGGCTTAAGCTATCGTCCTGGGCCACATGTGTAGTCTGGAAGAACACTAACATGTCCGAAACCCATCATCGATTGTAATCCTGTTCTCTTGGAGTATTGCTGCTATTAAATTAAGCACATTCACGGAAATTCCAACATTAGAGAGGGACCTTAAGGCTAGGTATCTTGATATAGAGTCAAAGGCGGTTTTGAAGTCCATATATACTGTGTGGGTTTACTTCCGATGGCTGCTTAAGGGTCATTTGATATCAGAAAGAAAGACCTCCCATATCGTTTCGATCGAATGCTGTTTCCGAAATTCGTATTATTTTTTTCGTACCGCACTCATAACCGTAGTCTTCTAGTCAGTAAATACGAAAGAGGTTTGTAAGAAACACTCCTTCGTGATCCTGCGCCGTGACGTCTGTCGGCTTTTGGGACAAAGAGAAGCGGTACATCCAGCCAATGAAGCGAAAATGGTACGAGACGAAGATATTTATAGAAGAAAGCCGTTCAGAACGGCGCTAGCCCTATGGCGGCCTTGAGGTGTTCATTCCAGATCCTGTTTGGTCCCGTTGTCTTCCTTCAGGATAAACTTTCGAGCACCTGAGTTACCTTCAGGATACAGAACTCTTGGCCTAATCTTTTATGTGTGCCCGTTGTAGATACGTCCCACGTCGCGGTGATCTGTGTGGGGGACAGTGTTACTACAGAAGAATATCCCACTAAAACGATCGGTAAGCACTAATGAAGCAATGGGGTACGATGTAGGCCTGCGGGGACCAAGCCATTTATATGACTGATGCTCGGCCTATCTTATGGGAATCGCGTCGTGCTGTTCTCGGTATTTCTTGCGTTGGGTGGCATATATTTCACGATAGAGCATGGCGACCATTGCGGCCAGTGACTTCGATCGTAGTACTGCCAGTAGCCTAAAGACATCTCGGTACGGTAGGTAAGGTGGCAATTATAATCAAATAAAGGCCGATATGTGCCGAGCGGACTGGATAAACCGAAGCTTGCACAATGTCGACGAGATAACGCGAATAGAGCTCGACATCAATCGCATCTGGTACTGGGAAGATTCATAAGCCCGCTCTAAGAGCTTCTTCAAGTCTAATTTACGCAGTAAAGGTCTAGTTCTCCAGCCAAGCAGTGGTCTGAAGGGCATATTGAAGTCTAATCCGACAAGAATGAATGACTAAAAGGCTGTCCTTTTTGACGAAGAAAGTGATTGTGTTCGGCGTACTTGAGTTTTTCTTTAGTGGCATGCATTGCAAAAATATCTGTGGCCGAGCCTCCTGCAAAATTGAAAAACGTGGCTGAATGTCTTCGTGGGGTTGATTACTCTGCAATTATACATTATCAGTGTATTTCGAAGGACTAAAGTCCGGCTTGGAATGGGCTGACCCAGGTTCGTATTGAAATATCGTGCCATGATGATGAGAGCGCTGAAAGTAAGATTCGACACGACCCGTAGGTCGCGAACAAGCTTCTCCACGAGGGTCAGAGCGCACTCCTTCTCACTGGATCGCACATACGCCTCCACAAACCGTATTCTAAAGCCACACGAAGCTATGGCATTCTTCTCTAAAACACATAGGATGGGGCCCTAATTCGATGAATTTAAAACACTCAGACTCCACCACTGAGGCATTCATAGTTGGTTTTCTTCTGCGTAAAGCAGTAGACGAAATGAACTGCCGATAAATTAGGCCGGCCGGTTGCATAGATGAGCACAAGGGTATCGACTAAATCTCATGCTTTCGGTGCACGTAGCGACAATGTAGAGGCGTTCCCGCAGTTCCACTAAACGATTCTTTAGTGTTGTTCACGACTCTGGCCTAAAAATACCTAAATTGCGCAATCGGTCCCAAGCATTGACCGCGCAATTTAGGGCTGCTGTTTTCAGCGCGACCAAAATCTGGTTCAGAAAGTTGTCAACCTTCGACGGTGGCAGGAGCTGCGCAAATACCATGCTAGGTGCCGACACATTATTAAACCGATCCAGATAATAGGAAACCCTCTTCGAAGCAGCAACGATCCTTCGATGCACCTTTTACGAGACATGCTGTTGTATTCAGGCCGGCGGATTGAACTCTCGGATTTCAATGATACAGTTAATCTTGCCTAGGCCATACAATCGTAGCGTTTTTCATGAGTCTGTGAAGACGAAGAAACAAGAAAGTAACTATTGAATGTGCTAAATAAGCTGCATTGCTAGACTGTTCCTACTTTTGATGTAAAGTACTGTTCAACTTATTACGAGGATAAATACGCATATTTGAATAAGGAAATTAGTTAAGGACCTAAGTATCTATACTAAAACGTCGCATCTGGTAGAAATGAAATGTAACACTTTCAGTACTTTTCTTCATTTTATAATTTAGCTCAACTAAGTAAATTCGTTTAATTAAATATTTAAATTCAAATTCTCTTCATCTATTACAAGCTCAGTTGATTAGAATTAGTCGTGAAATTGAAGGATGTTGGTCATATCATTCCGTCTTTCCCTAACATTTAATGCTATTAGAATACTGTTTCGGTAAATGTTACCACGAGCGGTAATAGGAAGCTATGAAACACGAAGCTACTCCGTGTATACAATAGCTCAAGGAGATCACTATAGTTACTAGGTAAGTGTATGTCTTATCTACATAATCCACTTTTTGTTTCTGACACGAAACATAGGATTTGCAAATGACAAACAATCGAATCGGAGCTTTGACCTGGCGTAGTACATATTCTTATACTAGTTGCGTTAGAACAAAACCCCAAATTCGCCTGTTTCGCGTACCACAACCTATTAATATAATATCATCCTTCTTTTTTTTGCCCCTTTTCTCCTTAGGCCGTTGCTAGTCATTGAAAACTAGTAACATAGCAGACATCTCGCCATTGGACCTGGATCCTCGACACCAGGTTAACCAACCAACGTGGTCTCAACGTGGTCCAACTCGACTCAATATAAAGATACTAGCGAGACTTAGGCAGACACACTGACTTAACGTTGACGCGAGCCTCCTCGCAGGAGAAGGAGGACTGAACTGTCAGAGATGAATTGGTACTGGGTAGCAGCAGCCGGAATGCTGCTGAGTCTGTCGGTTGGGGTGACGGCCGTGGTGCTGCAGAGATTCTATTTCCAGTATGCCCTCATAGATATCATGGCCATCATTGGTTTTATGATCTTCACGTCTACACTCGTGTCGCTCATCCTAACTCGGCTCGGATTCGCGTTCAAACGTCTGCTGGCTCGTTCACAATGGGCGGACATGCTTGGAATTATCACGTTCCGCAACAACAGTGCCTTAATGTCGCAGCGGCCGGCGGGATGCTTCCCTTGTCAACCATCGCCCACCCAGCCAGCGTTCTGTCCCGACAATTCGGGCGACATGCTGACGATCTTCGAGGACTACTCGCAATACCCTCCGCAGCCGCGGCGTTTATTCGACACGCACCGGCTAAGTCCAACCACATCGCCGGAAGGCGGCGTAGGGGTCGGTGCTGGTCTTGTCGGAGGCTCGCCACCAACAACAACGACGACGACAACAACAACAAATGCCCTGCAGCCACGGGTCTGTCTTCCAGACTCGGACGAGGCGTTGCTGTACGTGGTACGATCGAACGGGACGTTCGTGCACCTCGACACGCACATCGTCAGCGCCAACAATTGTTGCAACAGGCTCGCAACGGTAGGCCTAGGGCCAGAGGACCTCCCGCCACCGTATCATACGGTGCTCGCCGCATTCGAGCAGGAAGAGCCACCCCCGCCATACGGTGACGGCATGTCCATTACGCCCGATGAGGTTACCGGCGATGACAAGAAAGACATACCAGGGCATAATGACGACCGGACGCCAGTCATCAAGGAGCAGCACCATCAGCAGCAGCAACGACAGACGCTGACGACGGGGGAGAAGCTCGGGAACGAGGCAGGCACCGACGATCGAACAAGCTCAGGTTCAACGGAACAGCTATCGCATATACAACAGCAGCAACAGGACTCTCAACCGTTCTTCTCAAGTACCGTAGTAGTTGATGAAAATGATAGCGGTGAAATGGAGCAGCAATTGGATTTGGCAGTACAGCGAGACCAGGAAACACCGCCACATATTTAAAGACAACAGCTGCAGCGATAGGCGCTAGGTAAAGTACAAGTGGCGATGACGACGACAGGCGGCGATGAAGAGCGCCATACGCCTCCAAAAAAGGCATAGGCCAGAGGAGCGAAGCGTACACCTAAGACGGCAAACACCGTAGCAGCTGTCGAGACAAGAACAGCGACTGTCGCCAGCCTACCAACCCCCACAATTGAGTGCTATGAAAGGACGTGACATTGGTGTGAGCCTCGAATACAACGACATGAAAATAAGGGCTGTCGTGACTAAGTAATGCCAAGAAAAGCTCGGCCAGACCGAGAAGATGCAGGAAAAATATGGGAAAGCTGCTGGGTGCAAGTCTGTTCAGGGAAAGCAAATAAAAATAGAAAGAAAGGAAGGGTCAGCGTACACAGTAGCGGGAGCGGAAAGAGATGCTGACACAAGAGATACAACTACTAGGAGAGCGACAACAACGGATGAACCTTTGCCCCCCATTCGCCAGCTCCATGGAAGAGGTAATGATGATAAGAAAAAAACAGGCGATATTACGCAATTCTACGTAGAGGAAATGGACGAGGAAGACATGACTAGAAGGCCTCAGAGAGGTTAGTTTATTTAGAGTATATA